GGCCTGGTCAGTACTTGGATGGGAGACCGCCTGGGAATACCAGGTGCAGTAAGCTTTTACTTCTGCTCCACCTCTCTCTTTAAACTCAAACACACACTGGAATTTTGTTTTATTCAAACTTAACACTTTCTTTAATTCATCGCGGCAGATACTAAGTCTGCGCCGCAAATACACACAATACCTCGTTCATTCAATTCTTGGTGCGCCTTTTTTTACCGACAAAAAAAATTCCCAATAATTTCTCTCAACTGCTTTGGACGATGTGCTGCAGGAAAGACCTGTGCTGGTAACTCAGCCGTTGACAAATAAAGTAAGCTGGTTTCAGCTTTTTTATTAATTGTGGTAAAAAGAAAAATGGGGGATAACATGGCTCCGTGGAACACTGTGTATTTTAGGTTTATTTATTTTCATGCCTCCAACCTATGTATTTAGACCTGTAATCATAGATTGTAATGTGGGAGCATAAAAGGGGCCTGGAGAACTCTTTTAGCTTCAGTTTTTTTGTAATAGGCTAAATGTTCAACCTGTCACATGTTGAACTGTAATAACAATTCTAACAACATTGAAGAGCATACATGGCAGGGGATATTTCTTTGGTTAAATGTACTGTATGTATCATTTACTGTGAGCAGGCGAAGCAACTTGCTAAACTTTAAACGGTACGTTTCAAAGATCACACTCACGAGGAGGAAGTGAGCACGAGAAAAAGCCAGAGTCCAAGCTGATGTACCACTAACAAAAACTGAGAAAAGGCAACTTCCTCAAAGGTAACTCAGTAACCAAAGAAAAACCCCTTCTATCTTCAAAAGAAACCAATGTTCACCTCAACTCGTCATACATTAAACAACGCTCCTGTCTTCACTTCTGTTTTTTAAGAAACTGATATTTATCTTGTATTTATGCTTGAACTTTTCTTAAACTGAAATGTAAAAATGTTCCTTTGACCATGATCCTTTACTAACAAGGAAGTGAAAGTTTAGGGGGTTGCATATCTTGTTCTTCTTGTTGTTTCCTCCCATAAAACACACACGAGAATAAAATAATTTAAATATATAAAAAAACAAAACCAGAAACAACTTCAAGAAATATTGTGATGGCCCACAAACAAGTGCCTTTAACATAGAAATATCTACTTTATTCCAAAATCAATCATTTTTCAGGAGAAAAACAGAAAAGAAAAATAATGCATTACTATCATACAAGCAACAGTATAGCAAAAAACAACAAAAAACTCAGACGGTAGTGTTTTCTGTCTCCAGCACTGGCACCAGCCTGCGTTTCATCATCACAGAAACTCCTGTAACTCCTCCATAGCCGGCCCTGTGATGAAAGGCAGTAGCTCTCTTTGACACTTACAACAATTGTTTAGTGGAGTGCCCTCAACAAATAGACAATCTATATCCATAACCGGATTCTATTAGATTTCAAATGTAGAAAAAATATACACGTTATTGCATTCAGTAGCTCTTGATTGCACAAGACCGAACATTCACTGTCTTGAGTGATGAGGCACTGCGGGAGGCCGAGTGAGAAGATGCAACGGTTCCAGTGGTTACGGAGATCCATCCGGCGCCTTGGTTTCGGGTGGTTATGCCATTGTGGATTTTATTTTGCAGTATAAAATCATTGAGACAGCCATGGCACATATCTGAGAGAGAGGGAGGGGGTGAGAACGCACATGAGTGGAGGAAACAAATTTGCATTGAAGCCCCAGCTTAATTTTCCCTACACACATATATATATATATATATTTTTTTATATTAACCCTGTAATGCCAAATGTATCATATTTGACAGATACGGTTTCTGAAATGTTTTGCGTCTGACACCTTTTGCATAATTTAATGGTAAAAACTTTGCTCAAATTCCTATTGTACACAATCAGACACACCTGATAACAGAAGACTACACAAAAAATAATCTGGATTTATCGCATAGTAATAAATTATTAGTATTAAAAAATTATTTTAGTTTTTTCTTTTTACATATTTTGTAAAAAGGAATAAAAATTTAAAAAAAGGAATTTTCTGTTTTGTTTTATTCTGGGATCGGGCTTTAAAGGGTTAAATATAATATCATACCTCCAGGAAAGCAATCCCGAGGGCCACTGCCACAATGACCACCGTGTTTTCATCCACAAGTTGCTTGATCTTTGGGAAGCAACCGGGGACCATCTAAAAAAAAAGAAAGAAAGAAAAAGACACATTTAAAAAAATGAATTGAAGAGACAGTTAGCATTCAGCACCTGCTAAATATTGTTGGTACTAAGTTGAAGGTGCGTACCTGGTTCTCGGCCACAGTTCCATTACATGGGTTCGACCTGTCTGGGCAGCAATGTGGTGGATACTTCATGATGGTGAAGTTGTAGTACGGGGAATTGCGAAAGTCTGTGAAGTTGTTGAATCCGCAGCACGTCAACTGCAAAGCGTCACAGATCTCAGCGTTACAGAATGTACGGGGTGGGGGGAGAGGGAGAGATTTCCTCATTGGCTCAGGAGAATTTTGTACCGTGCTCATGGTGGTGTTCCACAGCCCCGTGATGTCGGGGTTTCTCCCGTAGTCCTTCTTGATGTTCTTGGCAGCTGCTACGCCAACCTTCTCCAGCAACTCATCCGCCTGACACAGAAGCAGAGCCCCCCGTTTGGTTTTTAAATCTCGCCTTTGCAGTTGCTTATATGCGTACGTATGTTCCTGAATAACTCACCAGAGGTCTGAATACCAAAATCACGATTGCCCCGGCAACCTCTGCGATGAAAACCAGTAAGACTATGATGAAAAACTGCGGAAAAGATGGTGAAATCAGATGTTAGGGAACCCGACACTGCATTAATATAACAGGATTTAAATAAAAATAAACAAAAACATGAGCACATGCCAAAATTATTCATTGTCGAAATGAAGTTATCATATTGGTCTGTCATGCCATGAGAATCATTCCATGGCATCCTCTGCTTTATTTCCATATTCAAGAGAATATCTCTGTGGAATAGTCTCTCACTACTTTAGTAATAATGATAGTTATAATAATATTATTTGCTTCCTGTCCTTCCATTAAAAATTCAATTTTTCCATTAATCTTAGCCAGATTCTTTCCTCAATCCTCTGCATTTCCTGGGATGCGTTTTTGTCTTGTTGCCTTTTTCTATATTAATGTATTCTATTCACTGCATTTTCTTAATATACTTGGTGTGTGTGACGGCTGTGTGTGCAGGCTATGTGCGTTTGACAGTGCTGCATGGTTTGAGATTTAAGCAATGCAGTCAACTATAACCAAAACTCCAAACGAGGGATCGTCTTTTGAACGCTAACCCTAGCGGATTTACTCTATCTCAAGAAAGACACAGACTTTTTCAAACTCTTTGTGCACCTTACCAGCATCAGCATACACTTGCTCTCCTTGATGGCTCCACAGCAGCCCAGAAAGCCGATGACCACCAGCAGGGCGCCCACCGCGATCAGCAGGTAGCCCACGTTGAGGACCTGAGCCAGCTCTGCCGGCGCGTCCTCAATTTGCCCCAGGAAGTTGAGAATGGAGCCACTATCCACCTTCACCCAGATCCCAACTCCCAGCACGGCAACCCCTGCCAACTGAGGAGGGAGAAAACAGGAGAACGTGGGAAATCCTTAATAGTGGCAACTGAAAACAGGCATTAATGGTGAATTTTTAAGCCAAAGATGGGTGACTAAGTCAAGAGCCTGGCCAATAAAAGAGTCTACAAATAGATATTCCAGCACAATACCACAAATTCTATTATTATTAGGACCTACTTCTTTTTAGATTTCACAAAAGAAGATTTAATTAGATTTCATATAAAGGAGACCAGTAACACCAAAAAGCTTAAATGCTCTAACAAAGAAAAACTGAGGATAAAACTGGAAAAAGCTTCAAAAGTAAAATGTCAGTTATATGCTGGTTTAGTGATTGTTTTTAAATGAATAAACCGGGCTGTGTTGCTCTTCACTGGTGATGCTAATGCTGCTAGCGACTGCGAGTAGAAAGTTGCCCTGATTCTTTGGAAACGACTGTGGAGCATGTTGAGAACTTTAAAATGAAGAGAGCCTTTCTGTATTGAATATCGTAATATTGATGGACATATCTGACATCTGATCAGACTCGGCTCTTAAAGTTGTTTCCATTCCTGGTCTATCTAATGAACATTCAACAGTCGCAAAAAAAAGAGCAAATGCAAGTAATGGGATGCATATCTTTCTGTGTTCTTGTAAGGTTTCTTCATTTTTATGGTTTTTGGTAATATTTTGTGTTTCCCACGTTTTAAATCCAACTCAAAACAGCAAAGGAAATCCAACGTAAAGTCGTGTCTGCTGTGATTAGTGGACTTTTCTTCTTTCTGTATTTTACATCAAAACAAATATAAGATTTTCCAACATTATTGAAAGGCTTTCTGATCATTTCTCTGTAGCATTTCTTTTATCTTTGGTATACATTTCTCATCGGTAACACAAAAGACTGCAGTAAAAGAAAATCCAGCTGGGTTAGTGTTCAGCATTTCTTTGAGATCTTGTGTTTTCGGGAGGGTGCACATAAAGGCCTCACTGGCAAAGACCACACCGAATTGAGCTTTGAGATATTCCAAGTCGTTTGAATTATTTTCTGTTAGTGACACTTCACCATGGGAGTGTCACTACTGAAGTGGTAATATCAATTAGTTTTCATTGCAAATTCTTCATGCTTGTGTTTTGAAAATCTGTCAAGTTCTGCCTGGGTCTGTGGGTTATGTCCTTTTGCATCATTCTCATGCTTGTGCGCCTTCACAATGCAGCCTTTCATTTCTCTTTTCATTTCAACATTTTAAAGCGGCAAAAAATTGCCAATTGAAACTGAATTGAGCATAAGATACTAGACCAAAATTTCCATATTTCCACATTGGCTTTGAAATAAAGGTCTTTTCATGGAATCATGTTGGAAAACTATGGATCCTGCTGCATGTTCCATGTCAAAGAGGCAGATGAGGAAAAAAAAAAAAAAAAAACCCTGTACGTCCATGATTGTATGAAGAAACTGTAAAGACGTCGAGCTAAATTCATGTTATTTAAGCAGGAAATCGGGTTACTTACGAAGATGATGCCATTGAAAACGAACATCATGGCTTTGAGGAATGCAAAACACCCCATTTTTGCAGCTGATACTTCTTCCTACAGTAATGGGGAGGGAGAAAAGAAACGGATTAAAGATGTTCTGCAATAGTCCGTGTCACTGACACTTGCTCCATGCGTGTAAGTCGCTGAATCATTAACCATCTGGATGGGCTCTCAGTTGAACTGCGTCAAAATGCATTGCAAATTAGGGTTGATACATTGTTGGTGTCACTTCCTTTACGAAGTGGGAGGGAAAGTGCTGGGAATGGGAAAACAACAGCCGTTTGCTCGATTCCTCATCCTCAAACTGAACAAGCTTATATAAAGTTTATTGTACAGGTAAGCTGTCAGGTGACACAGGTGGAAGATTTTACATAGCTGGATAAGTGAGGAAGTGTTCTTCTCTGTTTATTGTGAAAAAGCCTGACCCTATACACATCTAGACTCAATAAAAACATTTCTTTTTTAATGCGGTCAGCCTGCCCAGCCATTTGTGACTCAGGCACGGTTGTTATGCAAAAGGGTGAACTGGTACAGAGCACAGCTTGTGTTTACTGTGACTCACGATGCACACTTCAGATCTTTTCAGAGTTCTACAAGTGGGCATTCATATCAATACGTATAAGACCATTAGACACTTGGAAATGTTTAAACATCAGGTGGAGACCTCCTGCCAGGCACACAGCGGCTTTTGTGTGGTGTGACTATACTGATAAATTGCGTTTTGAAGGGTGCTGACGGAGTAGAATCGCGTTGTATAAAGCAACAGGCTGCTTTCTGGGCGGTGTTGGTGGCTTTTTTAAATCTCCATTACCTGCTTTTTCACATCAGCCGTTGTTGGTTTGTCTTTTCTTTTTTTTCTTTTTTCATAAATGCCCCCTGAAAATTCCCTTCGGACAAAAATATCCAATCAAGCAAAAACAGGAAGTGGATGGCCATCTCATTTCACACTCTCAATGTTACAGCTAAGCTGCTGCTCATCAAGTTAATCATACATTCTTTTGGCTAAAGAACTGTTGCCTTGACTCCCTAAAACTCCTACTTTCCCCTCACTGCCCTGAAGCTTTAGCCGTTTTCTTAGGGTCAACAACTGCTTTCTGACACAGAGGAGTTAGCTTGGTGATGTATTAACCAGCCAGAGTCACATGCAAATCTCTCAACGTCCCAGCAGTACCTGAAAAAATGACCCACCCAACCGGTTTTTCCTTTCAGAGTCCGCTAATAAAATAGATTTGACTCTTAACTGTATGTCGAAGTAGAGAAAATGGTTTTTAATTGCTTGCGTTAGACCTTTAGAACCAAAAAAATAAGATGAAAACAAAAACAAGAGGAAAGAAAAAGCAAAGACGGATAAATCTCAAAGGACTCCATTGAAGGGAGTAATTGCAGGCAGGTCTCTGAAGACAAAGAATCATTGTTGGATGGATCCCTCTCTTTTGTTGGTACGGCGCTTTTGAAATAGCGGGATGAAAAAACCAGCTACATTTTTCCCTTTTAAATTTCAGATGAAATCCCAATGAGTCTTACCTGTCAAAGGAGGATCCCAAAGGTGTGCCCTGAGGCTGGTTTAGTGCCTCGACCTACGTGATGGAGGCTGTTGCTGTGGGAGAACAGGATCACAGTGAGTGTATCACGTCTCACTCCTCAGTAAATTACTCACAACAAATAACAGCCTGTTGTTCGCTAGATTTGTCACCGAAACACACGAGAGCCTCTGAGGATTTTTTTTCTCAGCTGTCTGTTCTTATTTTGAGGCTGCCTGCTTGTTATAAGCAAAGCAAAGGGAGGGAGGGGGGGGAGGGGGGAGTGACCAAAGCAAGTGACTAATGACACATCACCATGGAGCCTGGCTTCTGGCTGCTGGAGGAGAGAGGGGAAAGCAAAAGGGAGCTCACCTTTATGTAGAGAAACCAGCTCCCATTCAGCTCAAGCAATCCCAAACTTGGCCTTGCTCAGCCAATAAGCGCTAAAACTGGATACGAATAACATTTTCATTTGTGGGATCCAAGGCCATTAAATCAGCTCAGAAAGACACATGTAAAATCTGAGAGGAAATTTCTCCCTCAGTTTGCCAGAGCAAATTTGAAAATGTAAAATTCAGGACGCTGAATTTGATCACATTTACAGAAGATACAACCAAATAAGGAAGCAACCACAAAAAACAAAAAAAGCACAGGCAACTGAAATAGTGAGACATGCGTTATCACACTTCTCACCAATAGTGGCGTTTCCGCTACGTAAAAGATCTTCAAATTCTTTCATTGCATTCAGAAAAAGCTGGTGTCTATTGAAAAAACATACAAGACACGCTCGGTGACTTTCATGTGATCGTTTTTGAAAATGTAAATACACCTACAAGTTCATTCTGTGTCCGCAATCACTTGTAACAACGTATTTTCAAGGGGCAAATTCTGGAAGTAAAAAAAGCTGTTTCCCTGCCCTATAACACCCAGAACCTCTTTCTAACAGAATTATTTTTGGTTCAAGTCGATCTGTATTTCTACTAAGCGACTTGTAGAACTGGTCAAAACCTGAAATTTTTTTTTTCCTCAGAATTTTTATATAAAAATAAGACCTCATATGAGACAGAATTGTAAGTAGAAGGGGTGATAGTAATAGATGTTCCAAAACCCATGCCTCATAATAATGAGTTGAAATCTTGTTTATGTGGTATGTTTTATGAGCCAAGTTGTGTCTTTTCTATCACGGAAAACAGCAACTTATTAGAAATTGACACACGTTGCTTTACTTGTTAAACGGTTCATCAAACAAAGAAAAAGAGGGAAAAAAAGGAAATGATTTAAAACAAAAGCATCATAGTCCAGTCCTTGAAGGGAGCTGTCCTGCTATATTTTAGGTGTCAGAGGCCTACACACACACTAACAGAAAAGAATTCAAATGACTTGGAATATCTCAAACCAGACTTATGCAATTTTTATGAAGAGGCCCAATTCATCTCAATCATGTGCGTAGGAGGAATGACACGTCAAAAACATTGGACATCCGCCTTCGAGGTCCGGGATTTTGACAAAGTTCGGTAAATGATTCCGTAGGTAGTTTGAGGAAGTTTTTTTTTTTCCGTGAAACTTGATTTAATCAACTAACTGAGGGAGCAATTAAGAATCCCACAAAAAAAGAAATAAACAAGATGGGGGTAGGGGGAAAAACCCTTTTGAATTTCAATCCAAACTGGACAAAGTGGTCCATTCATTGGTTTTAAACAGGTCAGATGACTTTTAATGTACCACACAGGCAGGGATACTCTTGTGTGTGGCATGCCAACGATAGATAAAAAAGAGTTGTTTACCTTGATGACGTGCTGGAGGTTTGTGTGCGTTCGCACAAAGCCCTCAGCACAGAAAAGGCTCCCTTTGATGCATAATCCAGACAGCAGGAAGGTCTCATGTGTACACAAATATACAGACGCCATTATTCAAATCAGTGTCCCATAGTGTTTTTGTTGCTGTTTGTTTAAAGCAGAAAGCAACATATGGGAGTATGGCGTTTCCTCTTTAGGGCACAGCTACTATTTCTAAATAGTTGCCACAAATGGTAGAACTTTAAAATGAACTAGAAACCAGGTAGAAGTTTCATCTTGATTCGTATTCCACCACCTTGTAATAGGCCCTTTGCACGTTTCATTCAACTTCAAAACGTATAAGAATCTATTTTGAGAATCGAAATCTATCAAACTCTGTCATATCTACTTTTATGTGACCCATTTACCCCATGACGTGAACAGTCAATGTCAGTACAAAGGTTTTATCTATAAAGAAAAAAAGATTTTATGACAGCGGTGTAACAAAATTTATGATTTGAATAACTTTTTATTGTTTTCAGGGTTTTTTCTTGCTGACGCTTTGTCACACATTGATCATATTTTTCTAAAGTGCATGATGTCATAGGAGGAAACAACGGCAACTCATTTATGGGAAAGAAAGATCTTGCAGACTAAGTAGTTTTAGTAAAAAATACCTCCTATTTTAATGATTCACTACTTAACCAGTGTGGGATCGTTAGAGGGAAAAGTGCATTTTCTCGGAAACTGCAACACAGGATGGTCAAAAAGGAAATAAAATTAAAAAAAAATAGAGCTTGAGGTGAGTTTTCCTGAGAAGTGTTAATCAAACAGAGCAGAGGGATAAAAGCATGAACATTCATATGCTGGCCAAACAAACACCCGTTTATCTTAAATGTGAGGGCAGAGTGATCTAAAGCAGCATAATGCAACGCCTTTTTTTTTTTTCTTTAACCATTATTGACACACATCGGTCACATTATATCTGCATTTCCTCACTGCACTGGTTTGTAATCAGTAATCCTTTCAGGTTGTGTATTAAAAGGAATGCACAGACATGTTTAAACCACACTTGCCTTTAAAAAAACACTACTTTCCCCCTGTTTCAACCAATTAAATACTAAAACAAATACAGTCATTCTTGTGTTGAGAAAGTTCCCGCTGAATGCCATTATCTTGATTAAACAATGACGTTTCTGGATAGTCATTGAACGGAGATATTCATGTCGTCATTTTACGATGACAATTCAGCCTACTCATGAACTCATGATTTTTTGTAAAAAGGATGATAATAATGGATCATTATGTGTCAAATTTTTCAAGGAAACAAGACTAATTTACTTTGAACCACATGAAAAGTTCTCAAAATGTTTCTTTTTTTTTTTTTTAAAGCAAAAAAAAAAAAAAAGAGAAAAAGGCTTTAAATCTGACATGACATGGTATAAAGACACGAGACAAACTAAAACCACTACTATGGTGTGAAATTCCAGTAGGGCTGAGAGCAGTAACACAAACACCTCTTAGATATGTAGCTTACCACTGTTGTGTTTATAGTTTTTGAACAAAAAAAGTAAGAAAATGCACAGTCACTTGTTAATTTTGCAAATGTTGCAAAAACTCACAGTTTGCATACCGATGCAAAACTTAAAAAAAACTCAAGAGGAGTTTAGTAGTTTAGGAAATGATCCAAAAAAGGTTATTTTCTCTCTCTCTCTGCTGAAGTCCTCAGGTGGCCTGCTTCTCCGGGTGGCTCTTTAGCTTGTGGAACTTCACACTGTCCAGCTTCTCGAACCTCTTGTCGCAGAAGTCGCAGGTGAAGTTGTAGTGGGCCTCCGGGGTGTGCTTCCTCATGTGCCAGTTGAGCGAGGCCCGCTGGCGGCACTGGTAGCCGCAGATTTCACATCTGGCAGACGACAGCGATATGGGAAAACGACACAAAACTCAATTAAAGGTTTTGTTCAAACGGTGAATTCGGCAGCCGCTGTGTAAATGGAAATGTGTATTATTTATTCACTAGGAGAAATGGTCAAAAGTTAACACAAACTACAGAACTTGTTTTAGATTAAGTCACACATACCAGCTTTTATTTTCTCGGTTTTACAACAGCGCTCTTAGTAAAATTGTCCGAGGAAATATTCTCAGATTTCAGACAAATAAAGTCATCACAACCACAATAGCAAGACAGATATTTTTTCCATTTTCGGGATCACGTAAGATAAAAGGTGAAGAGCGTATTTCTAGAAATAATTTTGTAACAATAAAACTAATTTTAGCACAGTAGGAGTAATTACGAATCATAATTATTTTTAGGACACATCTCATCAATAAATCACCGACTAGGTAAACAACCTTGTATTTTCAAGACAGCAATTTACCCATTCAGATATTATGATTTTATGTTTTTAATATATCCACACATCCATCCATTTTCTGAACCGCTTATTCCCTAATGGGGTCATGGAGCCTATCCCAGTAGTCAATGGGCGAGAGGCGGAGTACAGCCTGGACGGTCCAGTCCATCACAGGGCCACACAGAGACACACAAGGACCAACAACCACACACACACTAACACTGACTCACACTGACTACTAAAGGTAATTTGGAATCTCCAATTAACCCAATATGCAGGTTTTTGGATGGCGAACCCGGAGAGAACCCACGCAGACACAGGGAGAACATGTAGGGACTCGAACCCAGAACCCTTGCGAGGGGATGGTGCTAACCACCACACCACTGTGCTGCCTGTTTTTAATATGCTAGCTGATCTCATCCTCCATCCGTGTGGCCACGTGCACACAGAATGCTGTAACTTACTGGAGAGGTGTTTCCCCCGTGTGTGTTCGCCTGTGCACCTCCAGATGGTTCTTGCGCTTAAAGGACTTTCCACACGTCTCACATATGAAGTCTCTGACCCCTGAAAAAAGACCCACATTTAGGTTTGGTATTTCTAACAAACTACGACTACTCGATACCTCCTCAGCCAATAAATCACCTGCTTTAATAATTTTTTTGGCTTTTTTATGTGCATTGACTTTATAGTCATTTGTTGTCGGACTTAGTTTATCTTTTACTCAAACATTCGTGATGTTTTTTCGTGCCGTCGTGGAGTCTTCGTAGCCCACCTGAGTGGATGATCATGTGGCGGTGCAGGTGGTTGGACAGATAGAACTTTTTCCCACAGCCGGGGTGAGGGCAGACCTTGGTCCTCCCTTTCCTGTGGACTAGATTCACATGATTCTGCAGACGACAAATGGTTGTTTGAATCTTCTCCATGAGGACAGAGTTAGGAGTATTAAGTAAGAATATATACATTTGTTTTTTTATGTGTAAATGTTTTTACCTGAAAGCTGCTAATTGCTACGTAGACTTGACTGCAGCCCTCATAAGGACAGTGGAACATCTTGAGCATCCCATCAGCCTCAATCACCGGACCTCGTCTGTTTCTCTTTGACCTGACACTATAAAAACAAAAAACATATACAAAAACACACACACTTTTTTGATTTTTGAATGCAGGAAAAGAGCGGCTACAAAGCTGGATGATATCTACTGGCCTCATTGGTCTTTAATACGTCTCTGCTTTAGCAAACTATTCAACATGTGGATTATATGAAGCACAAACCTGCTCAGACACCTCTGCATCTCCCGGTTGCTCCCCAGCTCCATGGTATCAACAGCTGGCTGCAGCAGCTGTTTGTCATCCGCTTCTGAAGGGAAGCAAGAAAAAAAACTTTTTCAACTGAAAAAAAAAAGTCAGTGTCTGAGATTCTTTTCTTGTGTAAAGACAGTTTTTAAAATAAGATGGAATATTTTCTGCGGTAGTCTGCTTTAAAAAAATATTTATCTTATTTTAATAAAAGCCACATAAGGTACCAAATTTTGGCCAAGAATAGTACATAGTAGTATGTCATTTGGGACTCACTTGGCTATTTATCCCATACAAGAACAGATCAAATGTTTATATGACATTAACATTTTCCTCTAGATTTTTTCCAAGTATGTGTATTAGTAAGGGGTTGGCCGAGGTGGATCAAACTTTTTTTTTTTTTTTAGATCTGACCATTTTAATCCAAAATGGGACCAACCTGTCATGGCATCTTCATCCTCTTCTTCTCTGATTTTGGAATCCAATGTGCACACCTGGCTGTAGGTGCCCGTCCCTATGACGGA